CAAAACATGGCAAAAGTCTCTGATATATTTTTTGGATTCTGTTTGAACATTGTTATTCACAAACCTCTATTCCTAGCTCAGTTATAGTTTCAAAACACTACTGTAAATCGACATAATGATTGTTTTACAATGGTGTACAACTGTTAGAATTTTTTCTTGCTTCTTAATAGATGAAGTTAATGGGAAAAAGACTTGAAAAAAAAAACCCAACAAAAATATAACTATTCTTCTACAGTTTGCATTTCAAACTGTTTCTCTTTTTATTTGATTGGGAAAATAAGCCACAATGTGTATGATAAAAATGCTTTAGACATTTACCCAACAGTGAATATAACAAGGGCAGTGATATTGCTTGCCCTCTGGTCAGCTTTGTTTTTTTCCCAAGTGCAGACTGTAGTATCATCACTCTTCAAACATACTTCTAATTGGCACCCCAGAGAGAGAGAGACGGGGTGGTACTGCAGGAAATGCTGGACAAATGTTTATGCTTTGGGAGTTTAGGAAAATATCAAGTCCAGTAGTTCAGTGATCGGTGTTCGGATGTGTAGAAAATAGCAGCAAGAAAAAGAAAAGACAATAGGTTTTGTGATGCTAATTCAACACTTTGAAATCACTTTGACTGAAGCTTTCCATTTGTGTGAGTGCTTGAAGAATGCAGTTTTATGTGACTGTTGTCTAGTTATGACTTATCTGTGATTTTTAAGGGATTTAAATCTGGCATGACAGCTAAAGAGTGAAAGATACTTTAAGTACTCAGGATTGAAGACATGACGGTGCTGTCACATGGCAAGAAGTAACTTCACAATAACAGGTGTAATTCCCCAGCCTACGAGTAACACAGATTTTCTGTTGCTTTGTTCAGTTTTGGCAGGAACATGCTTTCTGCTCAGCCTATACTGTAGATGGCAGTAAGGGTATGCTAGAAAAGGGTGCACAGGCTAGAATAACTAAATTAAAGAATGTGTGTAAAACCTACGGATGGTTTCAGGTTTTGCATCTAAACTACCTATTTATAGCAGCAATAATACTTACCAGGAAGGACATTATTTTTTATCACTTCTGGTAAAGACCAGGCCAACTTTTTCTTTCCGTTGTGTTTGTTTCTGTCTGATTATTTCTTATTAGTATTTGTTTAAAAGCAAGATAATCTTTGCAGTTTATCATGGCAGATGTGAAACATGACAATGTGTGGATTCACAGGCAGTTCAGATGCTCTCTCCATTCCCTGGCATAGGTCGTGAATTCATTGTGAGTGACGTTGATAGCCCCAGGATTTTGAGACTGTCCCTATATTCTCAAAGTCTTTAATGGCCCACTTTCTCCTCTTTGTTTCCTCTGTACCTACAGAAGAAACAAAGTAGGATATGGCACCTTTGGCATAGGAGCTCCCCCCTGGTAAGGTCTGCCAGGGTTAAGAGTAAAGCACGGTGCATGCTGAGCAGTGTTCTGCTCCTGAGACCTTTCTTTTAACCACAGTGATCCAAAAGGCCCATAACTCAAGAAGGTCTCCTCAGCCTTCCCAAATAATTCTCACACCACTCTGAAATGCTGACTGTAGTTTGCTTCTCTCATCTCCTCCATTGTCTTTGGTGGCTGATGCCTTCTTCCATTATAACTATTCAGCTTCTCAAGGTACTCTCTCCTTGCTTCCTGTATGTGCTCCTGTTGCTTTTCCTCTGTACAGTATGTGTTACAGACATGTATCTCTGTGTATATGGAAAGCAATTGAGTAATATTAGAGACTCATTGCCCACAAACATAGGTTGGAGACCACTGGCCTACTGTAAACACCCATTCCACAAATGACATCACTGCAATACTCCTGTTAAAGCTGATCTCGTCTCCCTGCTTGAAATCCAGCACTGAGTCCCTGTAGTGTTGTCCTTACTGGGCTTTCTGAGGTTCCTTAAGGGCTTTGCATTAGTCACAGAAAAGACATTTTCTGGTGTCACTTCTGCCCCAGTGACAAAAGAAACAGCATATACTTAGCTCCATGTTTCATCAGTTCTCCTGCTTTGGTCCAAGTGTCTTCCTCCTTATTACCCCTGTATCTCCTTGCTGCATGTTAAATTCACTTGTTCTCTCCAGGTTGCCACAGGCACTTAGCATCCCTTACCATATGGGTTAATATTGCTGTCATTTTTAATGAAATCAGTTTATTCTAAGGAGGTGGTTATGTGGGTTGTGTTCTCCCTTGTGAGACAACAACTATGTTGTGATTTCTTCATGGCCATTACAAAAAAAAACCCCTTTCTGGTGATGATAGGGACTCTACCATGTTAAGCAGATATATATGGTGTGAACAGCAAGGAATGGTACCCCATAACAAAGCATATTCTTGCCTTTAAGGGGTAGGAAATATATCTAATCCCTGACCACTACTTTAAAAAATGTAAATATAAATATAGAAATATAAATATCCTTAAAGTCCAGTTTATCTTTTTGCTTGCACTCAAATTAAGTCCTCTACATAGTTATAGATTATGCACATCACTTACAGCATGTAAACATTTATAGCTTCGTAGTGGAATTGCTTCTAGGTGTAGGATTTCACGTTCCATTAACATTTATTATAGTCTTCAGCTCACTTTTCTGCCCTACTAGAAAGTTGTACAAAAGCATGCTGTATTCAGTAACAAAATAGTAAAATACTAAAACTATCATACCCAACTTTTAAAAAGAATTCCTGAAGCAGATGTTCACAAACAGACAATTTTTATTAAAATAACAGTTGGAAGGAGTTTGCTTTCATTTGCTTGGCCTTCGAGGAAATTAAAAAGCCTTTCTATAATTTTGATTATAACTTCAAGAGAGGATTTTATTGTACCAAGGATGTGGCTGTATGAAGGATGGAGACCTTAAGGGTTTAAAACCTGTTTTTAAAAGCTACAAATTGAACTTCTCCTGTTAATCTTGGGAAACAAAGTCCTGTGGCAATTTTCTTTTTCTAACATGCAGAACATGTAAGTCTGTTGTAAAAACTGATAACATAAAAATGGCACCCACTTCTTCAACACATCTGCTCCCTAACCATATGTAAGAATAGCTGCAGACTCCTGTGACTAAAAGACTAAAATAAGTACCTTCAATTAATTCTACTGGGGTAGAAAACCAGAGGAGTAGTAATGGAGAAGTAATGGGTTTTTACACTTTTTTTGCCTATTATCAATAAAATAATTTAACTTAATTTTGGGCTGTGAAAATAATGGGAAACTTTAGCTATTGGCTTCAAGTCTCCATCGAGCAGAAGTATGTTGGCATCAATGGTGAAATTTCACTGGGATTTTACGGTGGTGCTATCTCGAGGATATCTTCTCTAAATATATCCTTTGCACTTCTATAGCTTCCAGGTATAAGTATGGAAATTACTGCTAAAGATATTTTTCCACTAAAGAAAGAACTTGATCTGAATTCTAGAGCAAGTTTGAAGAATAGGGATACTCTTCATTAATTCTTCCTTTCTGAATCCTTGCATACATTGATCAGAAATGCTAGGAAGCAAGGGAGATGTGGCTCTCCAAAATTCAACAGTGTCCCTTTTGTGAGGTAGTTTCTTAGAACAGAAGCACCATTATCCATGCATTGAGCATCAGATAAAGCTTTGCTTATGATAGATGGGAAAGAGACAATGTCCGTAGTCTGTGCACAAAAATGTGAACAAATGGTTTTTAAGGTCTAGTTCCAGCTATTTGAGGGCATCCAGAAGGTCATGGGACCTCTATAAAGTTGGGATGGTTGTCATTTATGTGTATGTCTACGTATTGTGTATTTATAAAGTGGTTGAGTGTGTGTGTGATGTACATCTGTGCACTCAGGAAGGTACACCTGTCTCTAGATTAATAGCATGCCCCAGAGATGTGGTCCACAGTCATCCAAACCAACATGTTTTGTTAGACCATGTTGCAGCTTCTGTATCCTTTGGTGGTGAGAGGATGGTCTGTGCCTGGTATCATGATGGAGTGAATTCAGGACGTAGCTGGGAGCACTGGCAAGGACCTGGGATTTAGGAAAGTGCCCTCAGCAGGTTGAACAAGCTGCCTTTCAGACCCCTGTGAGTTAAAAAGTCCTTGAAGAAAACTGAACTTGTTAAAGAACTGAAACTAAAAAGCCCAACTTAGTCGTGACAAAATATTCCTGCATATAGCCAATTTGGGAATAAAGGATAGTAATAACTGGTTGATAAAGGAAGAATAAGGCATCATGCTTTACCCAGCAGGAATAAGAAAACAGGTTTAGAGTGGTAGGAGTTACATAAATGTTTAATTGTGATGAACAAAATATTGATTCAGTGGTCTCAACAGTGCACTGCTAAGTTGGAGGAGTTATTCTTGAATGCTTACCAAAGTCTGTTATTAAAATCATTTTTGTTTACTTGGAAGACTTAAGAAAACAGCAATATGAGAATTGTTTTATCCAAACTGGAATGAAAACTGCTTGCATTTCTATAACTAAGTACAAGGGTTTAAGAAACAAAAAGACATGCATAAGTGATTATCAGCCCCACAGCATCTTTAAGGCTTGTGGAGGAGTTATGGTTGATGCATGCATTTTCTAGGATCAGGCTTGTATTTTGCCTTCTGAGCTGCAGATTACACAGCTGGTAGCAATGGGACTGCATTTACACAGGACTCAAGCTCTAGGCTGGCTTTAGGTTCAGATCCCAGTTTTGCATTAGTCTTTATTTGAAACCAATAAACCCGTATCTGCCTCTTCTGGTCTGTGTTTATTAGAAACACTTTGTGTGCATTTGTTTCAAAAACATACTTCCTGTAAGTGGGCTCTTCCCTCAGAGTATTTCATCTGTAAGGAGCAGAGTCCTTGGGAAGATTTGGGACCTGGGTTGATCTGGTAAACAAGGAGCTCTGATTCCAGATGGGCAATAGGAGAAATTAGTTATTAACACCTGTGCTGTTCTTTTCCCTGCTCACTGTTTTCTGACAAAGTAAGTTTCAATGTAACGATGCTGTTACTTACCACTGTCATCTCTTCTTGATTTGCAGATGGGCTTCTTCCGCCGGAGGTACAAAGAAATTATTGAGGCCGAAAAGAGCAGGAAGGAGAATGAAGATAGTTGGGACTGGGTCCAGAAAAATCAGTGAACTGCCCATGAAAAGTAAAGCCCAGTCATGTGGCACGTGCTTGCTAGCCTATAGGTCCTGCTCTCGTATCTTCCATATGTGGAAGAAGGAATCTTCTCCAGATTTTTCGGAGACCCCGTTGATGCTGTGTCTTTATCACTCCAACAAGCTAGGGAACATAATCCTGAGGCAACCACTGCAGCCACGTCAGGTGACTGGAGCGATTTACACTTCATTTAAGAGCTGAAATTTGAACTTCGGTAACCAAGCTGCAGTGCAGAGCAATATTTATGAATCCAACTATGTGGTATACCCTCAGGGGAAGACTGTTACCTAAAAATATTTTTTATAAATATAAGCTTTTTATATTGATTATGTCTTTATATTTGTATCAATGTTTTATAGTTTCTATTGAATAGCTATATAGTTCACTCAAGCACTGATATCTGGCTAAACCCTTGGAAATACATATATGTATATACAAATCGTATTGTACTTTTAAACTTCAATGCAAGAGAGAAGAGAGAGATTTGCAGATAAAAGTAGCTGAAATCCTCATATGCTTAATTCACAAGGCTTGGTAATGTTGTGTGTAGACCATTTTATGGCAATAAGCCAAAGTCTTTTCACTATCTCTTTTTTTTTTAGTTGAATTTGGTGTTTTATTAACTGAAGAACCTAATGTATTACACAGATGTGATGTTCTGTATCTGAGTCTGTCCTTTACTGGCCTGAATGGGAGAGGATGAAAATATTTCCTCATTGATGTGTAGCAAGACTTGTAGCTTGCTTTGGCTCACTGAAGAAAGCATCACAGAATGTTTTCCTTTGGGAAGTTTTCTCTTGCAGTCTTTAGTACTTTGATAATGGTCTAGGACTGTACAATTGAGATACCAGAAGGATGTAACTGGGCCAACCACTGTGGCATTGACAAATTCCTTGGAATTAAAAATAATAATAATAATGGAGCCATATTAATATTAATGTTAAGAAGGATAGTTTTTAAGCTACTGTTAATGGCTATGATCCGTTGCTATCAGAGCAAGTGATTTAATGCTACAAGCTATGTGCATTATTCCTGCCTTGTGGGTTTTATACACGAGTCATGAGTTTGTTTATGTGATAATTTTAAGAGACATAAGTAGATACAAGGGTTAAAATGTTTGGATTTTGAGTTTCCCTGCTTGAGTGTTTGAAGTACTGAATGTCATCCTTCCTCAAGCATTAAGAAGGAAGTTTAGTCAAGGTGCAGATGTTACTGGATTTCAGATAGATTGCCATTTTATTCGCTGATAATTCCTTAGCAAATCATTTGCTGAATTAGAGCAAATCTAGTTGCAATTGATTCAACCATGTTCCTTCAAAAAACTTGTGGATTTCTAAATAGAAATAGTGGAATTGTGTAAGACTTGGGTTTAGATTCTACTTGTACTTTGCACCTTGTGTAAATAAGAAGTAAATGTTGGTATAAAATCCATGTAAGGGAAAGAAGTTAAGCTCTGTGGTAGAAGGTGAAGGAGAACCAGGAATGATGGTTACAGGATTTCTCCTTCCGTGAGAGTAAGGTAAAAGAACTGCTGGAAGTTTGGAAACTTGAATACAGAGAACATGCAACAAATCTGCTTGAGAACAGGTCTTATTGTTGCTCTTCCTTGCCAAATTCATTATCGCTTTAAATTTAAAGAAATTAACTACATCCATATTGCTGTTTGCCTTTTTCCTTCACTGCCATTAAGTGCCTGCTATTACAATAGTATCAATCAATATTTATTAACTTAACTACCTGCACCCATTAGGCAGAAGATGGCTTTTAAGTGAATGAAGTGTATTGATTCAACATTTGACAAGAAAAGCTATTAGTCTATTCAGTTATTTTTCTTAAAACAATCATTGGTGATCTGGCATATTTCATATAACAAATGATCACTTAAGCCAGAATCTGAAAAGAAACCTGCTGAGGTGAAATCCTGTTGTAACCACATATAGTGGACTGGAGATTTTTCATCAGAGTGCAAAAACAAAAGGCTGATGGCCTTTGACTGCACTGTTGTATTCGAGGCTAGTGAATTCTTCACAGTATGATATTTGGCATCAGTTAGTTTTGCTAGTATTTCAACCTAACGTATCTATTTTTTCTGTTGCTGAGAAATACCTAAGACAAATAGAAGTTGAACATGAGAATGATTCACAGCTGTGAATTGAGTAAGACATTTCTTAAAGTATTTGCTGAAAAAAGAAGTCCATTTATTCAGCTGTAAGACATTTCAGTACCTGCCCTTTCTAAAACTGACCCCTTTCAAAATGATAAAGAAATAAATTTGCTGAAAATACAGTTCAGGGAACAAGTGAAATTTGTGAATTCAACTAAATTGGAAAGTCTCCATCCAAAAAGAAGGAGGAAGTTCCCTTAGAAAACATTGCTTTCAGATCTGCTAAAAATGTTTGATGACAGTATTTTAAAACTCAAGATTAGTTATTCCTTTGAAACATCTTTTTAAAGTATATGAAGAAAAGAGCTGGAAAAAATAAATACCCATTTAGCATTTTATATTGTGTTGGAAGCATTTTTAAGTGGCGGTGTTTGGTTTTTTTTTGTGGGTTGTTTTGGTATTTTTTTGGCTCAAGGCAAAGAATTTTTTCTTATTTGTTTAAAGTTAAAAATTATTAAAAATTAAATCCCATTTGATTGAGCCTGCACTGGACTTTTTTGATCTCTGACTTGAATTGTCTGCTATTGATCCAGCACAAGCCATCACTCAGTGAAAATCTAGTTGTTGGCCAGATTACTGACATATTCTTGAAATAACCCATACATTCTTAGTACTGCCACTGTTAGATGCTCGGTAGTTCTGCTGTCACAGATGCTTTTGTTTTTATATGTATACTCTTAATTATTTTTGTGTGTGTGTCAAATTCCATTGTGGCTCTTGCTTGGTTCCAGTTAGGATAGTCAGATTAGACAATGAGACATAGCAGTACTTAGTATTAAAATCCTGTAGATGCACCTTTCCACTCCTTAAAAAGCAACTGAACAATACAAACAAAAAAACACCAAACTCTAATATCAGTTGGTTGCAGTCATCTTCTAACCCTAAAATCTTATGGAAACGTAATATAGTTCAAGAATGTGTAGAAAATAGCTGTGCTATAGAGCTGATGGGATTTTCAAATTAAGAAATCGCAATAAATGGTATTGTATCAAAATCTAGAGACATGGTTATTTTGGAAATTGCTTCTAGAGCTCTGGAAGTTCCCTTTTGTCAGCTGCTTGTTAGTTCCTTTGTGCTGTACCACTTGTGCCACAGAGATGGGAGAAAGTCATTGTACCAGCTCTCTCCAGTTAATCCATTTCAGGACAAAGTCATAAGTTGTCTTGGAACAACTTCATGGAAAGGTTTGCTGAATTCTCATATGATTCTTTTCGGCAGCAGTCTCGCTTTGCACTGGCTCCAAGCTATGCAGGTGGAAGCTTTAAAGTGGGGCAGTAATGTTTTCAAATGCATCACCTGACATCCAAGAGATCTTTTGTTTAAGCCCTGGAGCTAGCAATGTGCAGGTTGTCTTCTTATGTAGAGTACCCATGAAGTTGCTTTTAGGGTAGGAAGAAAACAATCTATCTCAGAGAAATATGGTTAGGAAGAAAGGGAGGGGGGAAATTAAATTAAAATTCACTTACTGCAGAGCCCGTGCTGTGGCAACCCCATTTAATTTCATCTTGACATCAAGAAGATCATAGCCATTTCAGAGTTCTGGTGGCCCACAGCACAAGGATGAATTTCAGTTCTCAAGAGGTGAAAGCACTTGCCCCTTTGCACAGCATGTTTTGTGACCATTTCATTTGAAAGCCAAGCATCCGCCCTTGTGAATTTCTATCAGTTCACCCACAGAACAGCATGGCTGAGGCTTTCACCCTACTTGGCCATTGTAGCTAACAAAAATACTAGCTGTTTTTCTGAACAAACCTAGTTTTTTAATTTGCTCTGTTACAATGAGGAAATCGGCAAACTGTAGAAAACACTTGAGCAGCCTCTGAATTGAAGTCACCTTACAAATCATTTGGATTAACTGAGAGAGAAATTGTGCTTGATGTGAACCCCAAGCCTGTAATCCACTTTCATCTCAAAGTGGCAAAGGCTTTTGCAATGCCTAGCATACCAGTGAGGACAAACCTCTCCGCCTTGATACATGAATGGGAAGGACCCTACATACAAGTCAGTGACGCACAGGTAACTTTGCTGAAAGCAGTGGTTGTGCAAAGACTGTGTTTGGCAATACTTACTATCAATTTTCTTGAGTGCCTTGTGTTTATGGGCAGATTTTGGAGTCTTGCACAAATTTCCAGCATAGTATCCATGTGGCACGGGAATATATAATATTGCTTTCACTAAAGGGTTAAGGGAGTCATGGAACTAATTTCTACCTTTGCCCAAGTTCATCCACTTGCTAGGGTTTGTTGGACATAAATGAAAGTAGGATTTGGTTCATGTAGTGTATATTGATTAAACTGGCATGAAGACTGTAATTGCTTTTGGAGCATGATTTGCATACACATAGGGTACCCACACCATTGTCACTCCTTTTTCTTAGAATGTCACACCTTATGTATTGTAAAATTGTATGTTTCTTTTTGTGAACTTGTGGTTGGAAGAATGTGCTCACTCCTATTGATGTCACCTGTATTTAGAAGCTCGTGTTCACCTGTATTCTAATTCACTTGCACTGTTTTGGAAATGTCAGGTTTACAAGAATACAACTTTTTGGAATAAAAAGTGGCTGCAAAAATTATCCTCATAATATAATTTTGTCACTTATTGTCCTTGTTCATCAATCAGGTGAGACATTTTCTGCTGTATGATTGAATTAAATGGTATGTGCATGCGTTTATCAGTGTGTGATAATGGGCATCTCGTGATTCTATGACTTGTATAAAGTCAAGCTATTTGGAGACTACCAGTATAACTTGCCTGACTACAATATTGTGAAACCATGGAAATAAAATAATAGCAGTGGGAATTACTTGTATTTCAACACTATCGCTCTATCAATATCAGATAAAACCCTATGTGGTGGTGATACTGCCCTTTGATAGGAGTGTCAACCTGTGTAACTTAAGTTCTGTTTTCATCTGTAGGACTTAGGACAAAAGTCAAATTATTCACCTTAACGTATTTTTTTTCTGCAAGGATTTATATTCCATGAGTAGCTAAATAACATGTTTGAAAGATTTTCTCTGTACATCCCCATGTCGTACTTTGTCAAAGGGAGTAGAAGCTGGATAGAAGCAGCAAACAAAAACCTGCATTGATTTCTATGGCTGTGGAGTACCTCTTTGTATTTCTAATACTTGTTAGAGGTCCCGTTAAGGTTTTCCCACCAGTTTGAGGATGGGCGAATCTTCTGTGGCAAAATAGGAACTAACCTGAACCTTTGTTTTTCTCTATGAGAGTGGTGGGGCACTGGCAAAGGATGCTGAGAGAAGCTGTGGCTGCCCCATCCCTGGCAGTGTTCAAGGCCAGGTTGGATGGGGCTTGGAGCAACCTGCTCTAGTGGAAGGTGTCCCTGCCCATGGCAGGGAGTTGGAACTGGATGAGCTTTAAGGTCCCTTCCTACACAAACCAGGCTGTGATTCTATGATTCATTCTAAAACAAAACAAACAAAGAAAAAAGAACCCGAAAATTTCAGACTCTCCCTCTTCTCATCATGGTCTCTTCTCTGATTTTTGTGGTGACCCTTCATGTAAATGTTTCAGTGTTCATCAGCCATAAAGGAAGTCTGTTTCTTCTGTGTTAGGCTGTCAGCTAAATATCTAAGAACAGGCTGGTCAGAGGTAGGACCAAACTCAGAGCGTGTTTGTACTGGTGCAAGAGCACAGCTTTATGTGCTACAAAGCCAAAGGCATTAGGAGGGCTCCAAGTAGATGTGGGTCCTGGCATGTAGGGTAGCACCCTTCAAAGTAAAAATAAATGTTCTCAG